TTAAAACTGTGATTTCGATATAAAATCAATTAATCTTTCAGCCCTACTGACAATTATGCCATAGAACTCTTTTGGACTCTCTCAGCAAGTTAGTGGGAGCACACGCCGTCATGGTCACACTCTGGATGTGGTGATCTCAGAGAGTCTATAACATATCAGCCACTGAGATGTTGCTATGTCAGATCATTCCTGTGTTTTCTTTGAAATGTAGACATCAAGACTAGACATCAAGACCAGACATGTTCGCTTTAAGAAAAGGGTTATAAATAACAGCACAGCTACACTTTTCATGAGCAAAATGTGCTCTTCAACATGCACACCATCTGATTCTGTTGATGCTTTGCTGGATACCTTCAACTTAAACTTCAACTTTTAAAGTTTAAATTATGTCAAGGCAACAGAAAGCACCATGGAATAAAGCTACTGTAGTTCAACTCCAAAAGATAAAGATGCTAAATGCAGATAGCATAAAACTAATTCACAAAGAAATCTTCAAAGACAGGCTGCATAATTACAACACAATAATGTGCAAAGCTAAACAATCCTTCTTCTCCAGTATTTTCAACAATAATACAGCAGCAAAATACTCTGTACCATAGTTGACAAACTAACAAAAAGGTACCTACATATATGGCCCCTGAATTACCATCAACTGATGAGATGTATTAAGTTTGCATAACTTTTTTTAACACTAAAATCCATAATATCAGACAAGCATCTGTATCCACCATTGAGCCCATGTCCTCTCCATCACCACGTAAAGATATCATGGTTAAAATGTCCCAGTTTACTGCTATTAACAATGAAATTTTAATCGATGCAGTAAATCATCTCAAATCATCCAATTGTAGTCTTGATACATTACCAAACAACTTTTTAAGGAATGTGTTTTACTCAATAGCAGCAGACATACTTCAGACAGTAAACATCTCATTCATGGTGGGTTTTCCAAATACATTAAAAACTGTAGCTGTGAAGCATCTCTATAAAAAAGGAAAATGTAAAAGCAACTGCATGAAGTAATTACAGACTGATTTTAAATCTAGCTTTCATTGGAAAAAATGTGAAAATCACCTTCAAGCAACTTACTGGCTTTCTATCCTTTAACAGCTGTCTAGACAAATTTTAGTCAGGATTTCAGGCAAAAGTATTTGAACCTGAATTATCAGTTTGGCATAGGTAATAATTAGGGTCACAAGGTTAAATTAATTGGATGACAAGTGTGAGTGTGGCTGACATCAATCTTCACCGTCAAAGTCTGGTCTTTAGAACACGCCAGCCAAATCTCAGCCAAATAAGATATCTGCTGTGTCTGATCCACTCAGACCAGCGCACCACACACTAACACCACCACCACATCAGTGTTACTGCAGTGCTGAGAATGATCCACCACCCAAGTAGTACCTTCTCTGTGAGGGTCCATGGGGGTCATGACCACTGAAGAACAGGGTAAAAGGCGGCTAACAAAGTATGCAGAGAAACAGATGGACTACAGTCTGTAATTGTAGAACTACAAAGTGCACCTATATAGTACATGGAGCTAATAAAATGGACAATGAGCGTAGAAACAAGGATGGTCATAATGTTATGCCTGATAAGTGTGTGTGCATGTATGTATGTATGTATATACAGTGTTCAGCATAAATGAGTACACCCCAACAGATTTGTCAGAAAACCTTTAGTTTCCTTTCAGAATCAACATTTTCTATGGGATACTATACTACAAAATACTCCCACAAATGTGGGTCATTGATTGCAAACAAGATGTGTTAATTTGCACACACAAAAAAGTAAATTCTCCTAACAAATCCATTTAAGACCATGTTGCAAAAATGAGTACACCCCAATGAAAGTCTTAGGAGCACAGCTAAAGTTTAGACTACAATATTCTAAATAACAAGAATTTAACCACAGGTGAGTCTAATTATTCATTAAACAGGTGTCCAGCAGACAGTTGACTATAAAGAGGCGTTACTTAACAAAGAAAACTCCTTCCCATTTCATGCTGTCATCAATGGCACCACATGGAAGAGAAGCCACAAGACCTGCGAAAGATAATTTCTTTACACAAGAAAGGTGAAGGCTACAAGAAGATCAGCAAAGCTTTACTTATCAGTCAGAATACTGTAGCAAAAGTGATACAAAAATTTAACAAAGATGGAACCGCATCTCCAAAAGACGTCCAGGCCGTCCATGGAAGTTATCACCTAAACAGGAGCGTCTTCTGATGAGAAGCCTTGATGAAAATTGCCATGTAAGTTCACTGCAATTAGCTAAGGGAGTAGAAAGGCAATCTGGGGTGACTGTTTCCCGTGACACAATACGGCGTACACTGCACAGGAATGGCATGCATGGGTGTCGTCCACGAAGGAAGCCTCTCCTAAAGCCCATGAACAAAAAAGGCCGCCTAGATTTTGCCAGGGCCTATCCTGAAAAAGATGAAGACTACTGGGACTCTATACTCTGGAGAGATGAGACCAAGATAAATGTTTTTGGAACTGATGGCTTCCAAACTGTATGGAGATGCAAAGGTGAGGAGTACAAAGAAAAATGCCTGGTGCCTACAGTGAAACATGGTGGGGGCAGTGTCCTTATGTGGGGCTACATGAGTGCTGCATTTCATTGATGGTATCATGAATTCACAGATGTACTGCTCTATATTGAAAGAGAAGATGCTACCATCACTCTGTGCCCTTAGTTGTCATGCACTTTTCCAGCATGACAATGATCCAAAACTCACATCTAAGGCCACTGTTGCATATAATATATATATATATACACACACACACACACACTTATTTATTTATTTATTTATTGATTGATTGAAATGATATATTGTGGCTTACATGAGTGGCTTACATGACCAGGACATTCATTTGATGGCTATACTATACATTCTGGATTGTATCAAGACATATGAACATTAGGGCATCCATCCATGAACTGAATCTCAACAGATGGTGGGCCCTGCAGAAAGCCAAAGACGCTAAAACACTTCTTTGTCTACAAAGAATGGCTGAAGCAGAATAAATGTATTTTGGAACAGCCAGACTCAATGTCCAGACGTTAAGCCAAGAAAAATGTGGCAGGACCTAAGACATGGTGTTCATGCAGGAAAACACACCAACATATGAGAGCTGAAGCAATTCTGTAAGGAGGAATGGGCCAAGATTCCTCCAAGTCAATGTGCAGGGCCTATCAGCGGTTACAAAAACCTTTTGAACTCATTGATGCTCAAGGTGGTCACAGCGCTTACTAAAACCAGAGGGATACACTTTTGCCAACAAAGACATTAAATGTTGGATCATACTGGGCTCTTTACACTGTCGAGCTAAATGATTCTCAGGGCCAGACTGTGTCGTTCTGCACTAGTGCAGATTCATGGGACCACTTACGGTTTATTTTTTGAATCTGTTGTGCCACTAAATAAGAACCAAAAAATACTAAAAAACAAGAGTGGCTAACAGCTAACAGTCTACAGCATCCACCACAAAACATGTTAATTCATTCTGTCACTTCAACACCAGTCTCTTGACATGCTTTCTTTATCCTCTAAATGGGTGTTATGGAGTAGTAGTTACTGAGACCGAGCCTGTACTGTGGAGGGTTGCACCTAATTATGGCTAACTACATTAGTATAAGTATAGCCCAGTGTAGCTCAAAGCCCCACAGAACAATTCTATTTTTAATCTTCGTCATTTTAACACCAGACATTTGAATTTGTGCTCTCAGATATGAGTCTTTATCCTAAAAAAGGTGTTTTAAGCATTGGTTTGCTGGAGCCAAGCCTGTACTGCAGGAAGGCACCGTACGTTTGCATTAGCAGCAGTCATTCGACTTTGCTCTTGCTGTTATATGTTTTTATTGTTTATACTTGTGAGAACAGAGTAACAGTTAGTTGAATCAAACCTGTAATGGGGTGTTTGGATCTCATTAGCTAAGCTAAATTAGCTAGGAGAAAGGAGCCAGCTACCATTAGTCTAGCCACAGCTCCAAGCACAACAGAACAGGTTTAATTTCAGCTTTCTGTCCCTCCAACATCAGCCGCTTGAATTCACTTCCTCAGAGTTGAGACATTATCATCTAATCTTGTGCGAGTAAAACTTCTGTTAGTCAGAATCAAACCTGTACTGTGGTGAGCAGAGCTGGCAGCATGCTAGCCAATGCTAGCCAGCTACTCTCTCCTGGTTTGCAGCAGTGTTTAACATTTAGAAATTGATGTCAGATTAAAGCTTTGGCATTTATTGAATGGTGGATTTAAAATCGTGCACTGCTTTCCTTCATTTGGCATCCTTGTTAGCAAAGTTCTGAATTCTGAGGCACCAAGCATGGTTAGCTAATCATGTCGAAGTATGGAATGCTTTTAATCCAAACTTGATTGTAATAAGTTAATGTAATTTATCCTGATCCAAAAGACTACAGGCAACTCACGGCTAACAAACGGCAGCAAAAGAAACTACCAAAGAAAAGTGAAATTTACTACATAAAAAAAACAAAATTTAGCATAACTTGGATCTATCTGTTATAAGTTAACATTGGTGCCAGTCTTTTGTGAGAGTAACTATTAAACAGTTACCTATTATCATTTATGACATTTCCTAATTACTTTTTTGTGCATGCATGTGTTTAATGATCTAGATTTACTTTTTTTTAAATCAAGGCAAGCATAGTGCTAAGTGACATTTGGCATTACACTAGTTTCACCAACTGTTCATTGGGTGAAGGTGCGCCTCCTCAGTAATTTCTTTTGCCCTCATCCCTGTTTACTTGATACTGCTGCCAGGCCTGACTGCCACTATGAAAAGGTTGTACATCAGGTTGGAAATTGCATTAATCGATGCATATTCCCATTTCCTAAATCATTACTTAAGATCAAATCAATGCGTACCAATGTTTTGTAAATGAGACCTCATGTCTGACATCAGGGGCCCTATGAATAAGCATTGACTGGATATGATTCTGACTGTTAAGGACATGCATGAAGAGAAGGAGGAGCTTACCTTCCGCAGAACGACACTGACCCGGGACAGAAGTGGGCGAGGAGGACTTTGAGGAAAAATCCGACATCATGCCTTGCAACTTGTTCCTGCGGTTTTCTTAGTCCATACAGAGAGAGACAAGTCAACACTTCTTACTCTAACTGGAATTGAAAAAGTGGTAGAAATGCTCTAATTTCAATATTTTTTTTTTCAGTTCTTTGAGTTCTAAAGTTAAAAAAGGAGCATAACAACAAGAACCCCAGCGAGAAGTTTAGTTTAGTGCTGCTGTTGCTTTGAGTCAGACAAAAAAGCTTAAGCCATTTAGTGGACTGTTGGTTGAGCCCAGTTACTGGTAACTCGTCAAAGGAGAGCCATAGAAGAAGCAAAAGAAAAGAAAGAAACATCCCTGTCAAAAGACTGCGAACAGGAAATTAAAAATAGGATGGGAAGGAAAAAACAGAAGGGTCTGCTCAACTTCATTTTTCAAAAAGAGAATCTAGAAATATAGATATACAGAAAACTATACACTATTGACAAAAATAATAGGGACATAAAATAATAGTGAAACTCATTCACAGCAGAATCATATGCAGTGCAGTTCATAACTGGACAAATACTTTGTTTTGTTTGACTCTATACTCCAGCACACTAAATGTGAAATAAAACATGCATAGGAGGTTCAAAAATACTGTCAGCTTTAACCCATTCGCGCCACATTTTTCTGCTTGACAAAACAGATCTCCAATATTGATCAAATTTGGGATTTTTTAAAAGAAATAAAAGTAATAGAAAACAAATCCTACTATTTTTTCCTATACTAGAATATTTCTTCACTCCCTATACATAATACACTCTGTATTGTATGTGTGTGCGCGTGTGTAGGGTGGTAATTAAAATGTTTGTGGATTTGTTGAGATTTGTCGAAAACATCAATGTTTAAAGAGTTTTTCCTTCTCCTGTAAAGTTACTGTTTTGGAGCTATATCTTATTTTTGAGGGCAACTATAGCTTGCCACTTTGTTGCTGCTAATTGATTTACCCATAGTTCTTGGTTTTATCAAGAGATCACACAGTCATGCATGCAGCTGTCAGGCATTCCAACCACAGACTTGTTCACCCCATCTCAAAGTACAGGCAGAAACTCAAATCCAACAAGCCCGTCATCAACAGTAAAGAAGTGGACCAGTGAAGAAAAACTACAGGGCTGCTTTGAATCCACAAACTGGGCTGTTGTTGAAGAGGCAACAGACAGCCTAGATGAATATACAGACACCGTGACTTCATACATCCGTTTCAGCGAGGACAGCTGCATTTCAACTATGATGTAGCTGAACTCAGTTTTGAAAAAAGGAGGAAACATTGAGGAGTGGGCCCAGAATTCTCCACAAAGAGGCCAAATACAAGCTGAATAATTAGATTAAAACAACAAAGAAGAAATACTTAGAAAAGCTGAAAAGCCACATTGCTGCTAACAGCCCAACTTCAGTTTGGAAAGGCGTTAAAGAGATCACCAGAACAAGCTGAGAAAGATTCCCCTTCTCCTGAATGACTGCCAGCAGATTTGAACACATACTGGACAATCTTCAGCCTCTCTCTGCCAGTCCCCCGCCCTCCTCTTACACCCTGGCTCTTTCACCTCTGCTTCCTGCTCATCTCACCATTAACGAGCAGGATGTTAACAGGCTTTTCAGCAACTGAAGGCAAGAAAAGCTCCAGGGCCAGACTTGTCTCTCCATATCCACAAACCACTGCTGTAAACAACAAGTGCCAATTTTAACCAACATCTTCAACAATTCATTGTAACTTTGTTCTGTTTCCACATGCTTCAAAACATCTACCATCAGACCAGTCCCCAAAACAAAATGAACATGACTGGACAAAATGACTACAGGCCTGTAGCCCTGACCTTTGTAGTCAAAAAGGTCTTTGAATGCCTGGTCCGAGTCCACCTGAAGGTCGATACAAACCCTCTGCTGGATCTCCTGCAGTTCCCATAGAAAGCTAACAGGTCTGTCAACGACAGTCAGCTCAGGATGGCACTTCATGCCACAGCATCTCAACAGTCCAGGAACCTACACTAAAGTTCTGTTTGTGTTAATTAGCTTGGGTTTCAACATCATAGTGCCAGAGCTACGACACCACTGTGGTGGGCCTCATAGCTAACAGGTCTTCTGGTGCAGCAGCAATCACCTGCTGCTCAACACACAAAAGACTGTAGAGATGATGGTGGACTTCTGGCGCAACCCCCCTCCTACCCTGCCTCAACATCAATGGCTCTGTGGTTTCCACTGTGGAGACACTCAAATTCCTGGGCACCACTAACCTGAAGTGGAAGAGGAACACACTCTCCATAGACGAGAGCACCACAGAGAATGTTCTTCCTTAGATAGCTGAAGAAATTCAACCTGCCGCAGAGTCTGATGATCCAGTTCTACACAGCGATCATCATGTCCACCCTCACATCATTCATAACGGTCTGGTTTGGTTCTGTCACCTCACAAGAACAAGCCAAACTCCAGCACATAATCAGCACAGTGGAGAGGATCACTGGATGTAGTCTGGCAGCGTTTCAGGAGATCTACAACAGCAGGGTGACAAAGTGCGCCGGCAAAATTACAGCTGACCCCCTCAACCTGATATCAACTCTTCCAGCCACTTTACTGTGGTAGGAGATTCAGGGCCATGAAAACCTGCCTGCACAACCAGACATGCTAACAGCTTCCCCAGAGCTGTAACTCTCATTAACCACAGTGGACCCTCGCACTTTCAACTTAAGCTACAACCCCAATTCCAAAAAAGTTGGGACGCTGGGTAAAATGTAAATAAATGTAAATAAAAACAGAATGCAACGATTTGCAAATCTCAGACTCATATTTTATTCACAATAGAACGTAGAACACATATCAGAGGTTGAAAGTGAGACATTTTACCATTTCATGAAAAACATTAACTCTTTTAGAAACTGATGGCAACAACGCAAAAAAGTTGGGACAGGGTCATGCCTACCATTTTGTAGCATCCCCTCTTCTTTTAACCACAGTCTGTAAGCGTCTGGGAAGTGAAAAGACCAATTGCTGGAGTTTTGGGAGAGGAATGTTGTCCCATTCTTGTCTGATGTAGGATTCTAGCTGCTCAACAGTCCTGGGTCTTCTTTGCTGGATTTTTCGTTTTATGATGCGTCAAATGTTTCTGGACTGTAGGCAGGCCAGTTCAGCACCTAGACTCTTCTTCTGCGAAGCCATGCTGTTGTGATGGATGCAGTATGTGATATAGCATTGTCTTGCTGAAATATGCAAGGCCTTCCTTAAAAAAGCCACTGTCTGGATGGCAGCATATGTTGCCAAAACCTGTATATTTTATTCAGCATTAATGGTGCCTTAATGGTCCCCCATATCATGGATGCTGGCTTTTGAACTGTGTGCTAATAACAAGCTGGGAGGTCTTTAGCTTGGAGGATGCAGTGTCCATTACTTTTTCCACCAAGTTCTAAATGAGTTAATGTTTTTCATGAAATGTCTCACTTTCAACATCTGATGTGTTCTATGTTCTACCGTGAATAAAATGTGGGTCTATGAGATTTGCAAATCATTGCATTCTGTTTTTATTTACATTTATTTACATTTTGCACAGCCTCCCAACTTTTTTGGAATTGGGGTTGTAAACCATCAAAACTTCTTACTGTATAACAGTAACTCCTCTGGAACATAATCCTATTTGCGCAACTTTACAGATGTTAAACTTTGACAAATATTCACATCATTCTGCAATATTCTGAGTGTAATAGTTTTTACAGTATATGTCATCAGACCTTCATATGTACAGATATTCACACTCTTAACTCTTAAGCTCCTCCATGGCTCTTTATTATTCTTTATTCTATTTACTGTATTTTTCATTTTAAATTTTTCCTTAACTAAATACTTGTTAAGAGTTTAGTATGTTACATGTCATTCATGTGTACACTCACCAAGACAGATTCCTTGTATGCGAAACATACTTGGCAAAATGAAGTAAATTTGATTCTGATTGGGGTGTTTTAAAACCAGCTCAGTGTCGGTGGCGTTTCAAAACGTCACTGCAGTCATCTGAAATAGCTATGGCTGCTTTGTACTTCATCTGAGACTCATGATCAGTAGAGTAACAGTCTTTTTTTGCTCAAGGCATGTGACCATCCAGCACAGTGGAAATAAACAACAGTTAACAGTTAGACAAATAATAATTATCATTTATATTCAAATGTTTTAATATGTATTATTGCTGTGTGTGTAAATACATGAACATACATGTTACCAGCACATGCATGTCTGTGTGTGTGTGTGTGTGTGTGTATATGTGTATATATACACACACACACACACACACACACACACACACACACACACACACACACACACACACTCTCTGAGTGACAGCATTGTTTAGGCAGTGCCTGGGTGGTAAAAAGCAGCTTTAAATTCTTCACAACTGATTAAACAGTGCTCACTGGGATATCCAAACACTTGGATATTATTTTGTAGCTTTTTCCTAACTGTGCATTTTTAGAACTTTGACTCTGATTACCTTAGAATGCTCTTTAGTCTTTATTTTTACAGTTTTCAAATACACAGTCTCTAGGATAAAAGGGTTTTTTATGCAGAAAAGGTTAACTTTTTAAGTGATTTACAGGCAGAGTATAATTGTAAGCCAACTGTGTCCTTGTTGGGACAAGATCTTTCATTTGTTGGAGTTTCCACAGCACAGGGGCTAAATATTCATTCATTGAATATTCAATGTTCAATATTTTCAGTTAGTATTTTTTGTCACAGAATATTTCCTAACATAAATTAATATCACTTAAAATTTGTGCAAAGCACTCCGTGTGTTTAATGGTGATGGCTGAAGACTGAATACACTGTCCTAAATGTATTCAGTAACGTATTCTATTACAATACATAAAGAAGTGACATTCAGTTTACATTTAGAATATGGTCACACTGGAAATGTTTTTTTATTCACACTGTTCCTTGCTGTTACTGGTTTGCAGTTTTATTCTGTTTCTTGAAATACACTTCATGTCAAATTCCTTTATTATTTAAATAAGGTTCTGAAAATTCTTTCACAATTTATTTTTTCTCTCATTGGCTGCTTCAGTCGACTGCTGCTCCCACAATCCCCCAAGCAGGAGTCCAGTACAACACAGATGATACTTATCACTAACTTTTGAGGAGATTATTTATTTGATCATGCCTCAAAGGGCATGCATCAATAATGCTGAGATAAATAATTGATCATTACATTGATTTATCAAACTACTCAGGCTTTATCAGAGCTCAGTAACACAGATTATTAACTGATTATCACATTGATTTATCAGTCTATTCAGGCTTTTGTAGGAAGTGTTTGCAAAGAAGCTGATAATTGAGGTCCTCTTTAGAGTTCATCTAACAAGCAAGTTTGCTACATGCACTGACAGTTAATAAACAAGCATTGAGTGTTTTGTAAAGATGGTAATGTTTTTTTAAATGTAATGTGTCAGTATTCTAAAAGTATTCTCCTAAAGATGTAATATGTAACTGTATTCTTAATACTGCCTTTACAAAATGTAACAAGGACTAAATACAGATGCTTAATTTCTGAATTTTGAATACCTATTCCCAATTCCTGTGTGTGTGAAGAAGTACGCTTAGTCATTATTTCATTTTAAATCCAATGTGCCTGAGCCAAAACAACAATACTCATCAACTTATGCACTGCACCATATGATGCATGATGACAACATGTAACTCTACAGAGCACTCTGCCTTCCATACCTAACTCGCGGCCATCTCCTGAGATACGCGCCTCCCCAGCCCCCTCGCACTCCTCTCCTGAGCCCAGGAAATCAAATTCACTAAGGGCATCCTCTGAGTCATCATCATCATCATCATCAGGGTCTAGATCTGTGGTCATGGGTTCACCTGCCATCTACACAAAAACAAAAATCACCACTCGCATTATCTGGGACTCTATTTTCCTAAGACAAGCACCTGCGTCAATTGCTGCTTAAAGTTACAAAGACAAGGGTGTATACCCAAAAAGCCCGGTGCAAGACCATCCATGAAAGCTTTGTGTAAACTAGCTGAGCGAAATGAAATATAAATAGGAAGGCATTAGTATGTTTAAAGAAAATTGATCACTTGAGGCAGAACAAAAAGTGTTGCACATTAGGGTAGCCAATATATTATTCACATTGATAAACAGCACAATTTAATTATTATTGGTATTATTTTTCTTCTAAATATTAGATTTACACCCAATAATTACAATCAATGATTACACCAAATAAACTGGTTCCCCATTGTTGCTCATAATTAGTAATCTGTTCTCATAAGTGGTGGGTATTCCTATTTTTTTTTTTTTAAGATTTTTTCCCCCCACATACAAACAAGAGTCTGCTGGCGGAATTGGTAAATTCAGAAGGTGCAAGCTTAAGACTGATACTAGAGCTGGTCCTCCAAGATCGTATTGAGATGACAAATTTTCACAAAAATACTAACATTTTATTTTTCACTATTGCTTTACATTGCATTTTCATTCCACAACACATGTCCTTTTTGTTGAGCTATCTCTCAACAAAGACATTAACATACCAATATTTTAGAACAATATGTTGCATGACAGTCAAAGCCCAATAAAAGGGCTTTTGTGACATGTTTTTTTGTATATGGTGCTAATGTGCTTAATTAAAGCATGCATATGTGTGTGAATCTTCCAGGGCGTTCCTAACCTTGGCCCGGGACTTCTTGTTCTTGTGTGGCACATCAATGCAATCTGTACCAATGCCTTGAAAGTCATCATCTTCATCACTGTCTTCCTCTTCATCTTGACAGCTGCGCAGGAAGGGAATTTTATCCAGTACTGAGCCACCTATCCGTTCTTTAGAATTCTCTTTCCCAGCGTTCCTGTAAATCACAAATTGAAAACTCAGGAAATACTTACCTTGCTACTGTCCAAGCAAAGACAGACAGATATATATATAGAGAGAGTGAGGATACTCAGCTCCAGTATGAATTTGTGACAAAATATGCTCAATATAGCTAGCTATAGAGTTTTCACTTGGTTGTTATCTGCTTGTCAGCTACCCAACTTTAGCTTTATGTGAGGTAACGAAAACTGTGATATGTTACATAACACTTAAAGTTAAGCTAACTGATGAGCCAACTATTCAACTATCCAGAAGAGGAACTTCAAGGAAGTCCACAGACAATGAGAGTGTAAATGAGTGAAAGAGATAGAAATAAAGTAATTGACAGCTCTTTATATTCTCTGCTTTCATGTATCGCTTCAATATTTTAGAAAAATCACACCAGTAGAAGATTAATGTTAACGTCAGTGAAAAGGATCACAATGCATTGATCATAACTCAATTTTATATTCGTCAATTCCTTAACCTTTGGATGTATGTATATAAGAGAGATGGCAGCTCTGTCAAAGGTCAGTCAAGTGACAAGATTTTGCCAGATTACACAAAAAATTAAACTGATGGTTTTAGAAGTAAACACATCAAACATCAGTCTTGCATGTTAATTTTTCTTTCTACAATAGAAATCCAGTAACTGGAAAATATCTCTGTATTTTTTGGATGATTTATATCTTATTACATCCATGTGTAATATGAAGTGACACTCTACTGTGTGCCAACTTGACCAAACAGTTATTTTATGATCAATGCTATACCTATTGTTCCTCTAAAAATTCATGAAGAACATACATGTTCGGGAGATTTTGTTTTATTCTCCCCTAGTAAAACCTTAGCCCCCCCCATGCACACACCCAGAAATGTATGTGCTTTTCATATACTTTCATCTTTTTATATTTTTTTCTGCAAGTTCTTTTCTCTCATCTTTCTTTCTTTCTTGCCTTCTTTCACAGATTATATTTACTTTCTTTCACTGATTAGATATATCTTTGGATTAAGCAATTGACATTGGTCAACTTTTCTCTTTTTTTCTCTCTTTTCCTTGTCCTCTCTTTTTTCTTTCATTAATTTATCTCTTTTTCTTTCTTTGTCCTATTTCTTTCTTCTTTTTCTTTCTCACTTTCCTTCAATTTCTCTTTTTCTTTCTTTTACTTATTAAATGTACTTTCTTTCGCAGATTAGATTTACCTTTGGCATTATGCAATAGATATTGGTCAGCTTTCCTCTTTTTTCTCTCTTTACTTTATCCTTTCTTTTTTCTTTCATTCATTTATCTCTATTTTCTTTCTTTTGTCCTATTTATGTATTTTTCCTTTCTTAATTTCCAGCATTTTATCTTTCTTTTTTCTTTCCCCTCTCGTAACATTTGAATTCTATGAGTTGATGAGACATTTTTTAAAGTTATATTCATTCTTTTTTCTTTCTCTTTTCTATCTTTAATTCATCTTTCCTTTCTTCCCTTTTCTTTCTCTTCCACTCTTTCAATCTTTCACTTTTTTTCCCCTCTTTCTTTCTTTTTTCCTCCCTTCCTTTCTTTCTTTATGCTGAAAATTTTAAGACTTAAGACTAAAATTTTCTTGTCTTGCAAACACTATTTTCTTTGGGAAAATCCAGATCTAGTTCTCTTTATAGGACTTGCAAGGTGAACGCTGTACTCTTGTGCCTATAACACCTATTATCACAATAATTGCAAGGCTTTTCTTCTCCTAACACAATCAGGCTCATCCACTTAACATACAGACCTCGTTGAAACTATGTTTTATAGATGATTTTGATCATTTCTGTGGTATCTACTTGTCAAATTTCTATATCTGTTAATTTTTTTACATTAAAATTTGAAATTTCCCCATAAACTTGTATAGTGGAATCTTGATACAAATTGAATTGCAACAGACACAGCTAATGTCACAATGCTGACTGGCTGTGCTTGTTCAGAGTGACTGCATACTGTTCTTTCTTTACATCTTTTTATGGTCTTTTACCCTTATCACTTACCCTTGTGATCGTTCAGCACTGCTTTATTCTTTTTTTGTCAAACCTCTTTAAGCAAATCTTTAAGCAAAAAAAGTCTTTTATTTTTTCCTTTTTCCTTATAATTAATGTATAAAACACTGAGATCATTTGCTGCTGGTTCCCTTTTGGTTCACATTAACTGAACCAAGTTTGGGTTATTTAAAAAGATCCAAATGGCAACCCTAAAAGGCTGTTATGAGGAAACAATACTAAACCTCTTGATCTGTTCTTCTATTTGCCGTACAAGTAGCGACTCTCCCCCACCGTGGGATTCAGGTTCTGGAGGCACTTCACTCGGTGGGGACCCATTCACCTCTGGGCTACTGCGACCCAACAGAGACCTCACCCTCTTAGAACGCATGTCCAGGATGGTGTCCGAGTATCCCACTTCCTCTAAGTACCTGTAAATACCACAGACATACTGTAACTCAAAATTTTTTTGCACTGATACTTGTTATGACTGTGGAGAGATAGAAAGCACTGACTTGCGCAACAACTGACGCCCCTCTTTCCAGGACATTTGATTGGCTGGTTCATTTTCCATTTCTGCTGGCCCATTGAGAACTGTAGGACAAAGATATAGTCAATCATCTAGAATATGATATTCCAGTACATGAGTACTGGATCATCAGCAACAAACAACAAAGCATTACTCGTTAACGTCAAGCCATTTCTGAGACACAAGACCTTAATTTGAATCACTGATAAAAGTTTGATAATTTAGAGAAATGTTACTTGGCTCATTCTCAGCGTCAGACTTCTTCTCTGCTGGGTTCTGATCAGTGCCTGTCTTTAGCTTCTGATATTTGGCCCTAGGGACAACCAGGAGAGAAAGAAAGAATTTAATTATTTTTATGTATTTATTTTCCAACGGAGAAGATCCACCAATATGCCCCATTTTCAGCTGTACCCTAGTACAAAATTGAATGCTACACATACAGTTAAAAAACACGATAAAGTGAAGATAAATGTAAATTGTCACATTGTATAAAACGTTGAGTCAATTAAAAAAAACTTAGGACAAAAAATAGGACAAGCTCTGTTAATTGAAGTTTCTGATTTACAAAGTAAGGAGGCTTAAAAACAAAAGTTAATTTCTCCAATTTTGATTTCATTCCTGGCGCAACAAAAGATATTCTAGACTATGAACAAAGGTTACACATGCCCTTTACTCTGACTAACAATGAGCATAAGTAATTTGGTAACTGACCAATAAGTATTTTATGTGTAGAAACAGCACAATATCTCTCTCTTCTATTGGATAGTGAGGTACGCTGGACATCCGAATACAGATCATAATGGTGAGTCAAATACTCATCTCCAGTTATGCATCTAATCAGATTTCATGAAGTATAATACCTCCATAATCAAAACAAATTCTAATGTAACCTGTACAATAATGTCTATTCTGAAATAAAAAATAAAAAAATGACTACATGACATTCTATAGAGATAGCTCTAAGATTGACTCTATATTGATTCATTATCTCATGTTTGCTGAATTATTCACAGTCATCAATACAATATTATGTTATCTAGGTAAAGTAAGTGACTGTAGAGTATTTAACTCTTGCGGCGAGCAGCAGGGCTTAACTTAAAGTAGCCCTAAAGTCATGATTTAACCTATAAAAAAAAAATCTGTTACATAATACAACTGTTAAACTTTTTGTTTTCAAATCTTGCCCCTTTCCCCTTCTGCACACTGTGCTTTTACCCCTGGTGAATACAGTCTTCTGTGTTTGAACAGATACAGACGAGATGGAGCACAAAGAGCCACAAACATGCTCCAACTGTAACGTTAATAATCAGAAAATAAACTTGCGAGATTTTCAAATACCCATTAAATGTTAAATAAAGTTGAACAACAATTCCTAAACACTAAACAGTGCTCAGGAAACTGAAAATGAAGCTGCTTATGCTACCTTTGTTAGCAGACCACCAGCTCAACACAACACAGAACAGGTTAGGTTCTCTGTTACACTCCAATCATTTGACCGCATTCACTCAGATTTGGGTCTTTACCTTCTAAATTTGCAGATATCAAACCTGTGTTGTGGTTTATGAAGCTGTATGAAGCTGTTTTAGCCCGCTCACAAAGCTAACGCTAGCCTCTGGTGCTAAGAAGTATGATATGGTGGAATAAGAGAAACAAACACAAATGGGTTCGCTCCCTCAGATTTGAGTTTTTATCCTCTAAACTTATGTCAATGAACCTCCAGTGAGCTGGTGTAATGAAAATAATTGATGCTGTCAAAAGCTGATCACATGTAAAACTGTAAAAGTTGACACTGAAAAAAGTTGACACTGTACAAACAATTATTTCAGAGTACAGTGTCGTTAAATCTTTGCATTTAACCTAGCAACCTGGTATTAGGCCATCATTAGTAGCTTAAGTGGTCACTGAGAACTCTGCATATTATTTTGCCCTGCTAACGTTACATGCCACAGACATGAATGAGAAGTATGAATGAGTGTGGCTAGGGTAACCATGATAGCTGACGTTTGAAATGATATTTCTCTGATCTCAGAGTTCCCTCAACAAGGGAACTTTGTGTCAACATGTTTCCACTTCATTCAAAAAAATAATTTGCCTAGTGTAGAAAATGATGGTCTCATCTAAAGTTAAACTGATGGCTATGTTTTATGTTTTACCCACATTGGCTAAAAGATTTCCCTTCACTTTTAAATGACCCAGGTAGTTTGCTTAACAAAAAAGTCATGTTTATAAATGTACACCTCTGTCTGCTTCCTTTGTGACACTGAATTTGTTACACATGCAATGTCTGCACATGCAAGTTTTGGTTTAAGACATCAACTTTTGACAGCATCAACTATTTTCCTTACATGGAATCAAAGGCGTGCTGTGGTGTATGAAGCTGTAGCTTACTAATATATTTATAACATTCGACCGCTCATTAGAAAAATATGGAATATAAATGTGACACCTTTGTAATTTTGAATAGCACCACCATTCATTCATTTTAGCTGACTGTTAACTGCAATGTCCAAACAGCTCAAAAATTAAGTTTGCAAATACATAGCACTTTTTCACTGAAGTAATAAGAAAGCCTATGTTTACAATGGAAAAATGGGAACTTCGTGCTTTAAAACACATTTGGCACAAACACAAATGTACATGATCTTAATAAGCCATCCTAGAGGAATTAATCATTTCTAAAAACATGTTTTTGATCATCTAATTTGAATACATGAAAAAATATTCTTCTGTAATAATAAAAACAGACCTTTGTCTAAATGCACAAATTAATAAAATATAAAATAAGAAGATAGAATAAGAATTTGCAAAAAATCTCATGTCTCAAATATTTCATGAATATATGCATTATTATTATGAAATATCATTAATAATTTTATTTAGGATTTTTGTTTATTATTATTAGTTCTGCAATTTTGTAGCTTGAACATTCCACACCAAACACCGGTTTGACCACCCTGTTCAGATCTCCACAGCGCCTGTATGTACAGCGGTCACCTCCACACCCTCCCTCTTCTCAGCTCCTGGTACTTCAGTCTCAGCCTGCCAGGACATCAACACCTCATCTTGTTCTATTGATATTCATGCCCCCATCCCACAGGCTGGCAGCCCCATTTCCCCCCTCTTCACACATTAACACATCAGATCTGATCTGCAGCACTGCTGCAGCACCCCCTTCTCCCCCTCAGCACATCTTCACTGCAGATCAGGTTAGAGGTGAGCTGAGGAAACTTCACACAAGGAAGGAAGCTGGACCAGACAAAGTGTGTCCTAGATTACTAAAGTCCTGTGCTGCTGAGCTGGGGGCACCCCTACAGCACATCATCTTCAACCTGAGTCTGCACTTGGTAAGGATTCCCACACTGTGGAAGACATCATGCCTCATTCCAGTACCCAAGAGGGGTGACCCAGCAAACTTAATGACTTCAGGCCGGTCGCTCTAACATCAAATGTCATGAAGACCCTGGAGCGCCTGCTTCTACACCTTCTCAGACCCCAGGTTCGACATGCAATGGACCCCCTGCAGTTCGCCTACAGGGAGAAAGTGGAAGTGGAGGATGCCATGCTATACTTTCTCCATCAGGCCCACTCTTATCTGGACATGCGTGGTTGCGCTGTAAGAGTCATGTTCTTTAATTTTTCCAATGCCTTTAATACCACTCAGCCCCTCCAAATGAGAGATAAGCTGGTAAGGATGCAAGTTGACCCGCACCTGGTCTGCTGGATTACTGACTACCTCACTGGCAGACCTCAGTATGTCAGGCTGAAGGACTGTACATCAGAGACTGTAGTCAGCAGCACAGGAGCACCACAAGGGACTGTACTTTCCCCCTTTCTCTTTACACTGTACACTTCAGACTTTCAGTACAACTCTGAGATGTGCCACATGCAGAAGTTTTTGGATGACACTGCCATTGTGGCTTGTGTAAGGGGAGGGCAGGAGGAGGGAGTACAAGACCCTGGTTAAGGACTTTGTGGCGTGGTGCCGTAGGAAAAACCTGCTACTGAACACTTCCAAGACCAAGGAGATGGTGGTGGACTTTCGCAAGGCTAGGCCACTCTCACAGCCAATCTCTATTGAGGGGGTTGAAGTGGAGAGGGTTATGACCTACAGGTATCTCAGACTGCAACTGGATGATAGGTTGGACTGGTCAGCCAACACAGACATCCTGTACAGGAAGGGGCAAAGCCGGCTCTATTTCCTGAGGAGGCTGAGGTCCTTTAACATCTGTGGGAAGCTCCTGCAGATGTTCTATCAGACCGTGGTTGCCAGCTGTCTTTTTTATGCTGTGGTGTGCTGGGGCGGAAGCATGAAAAAGAGAGATGAGATGCGACTGGACAAGCTGGTCAGGCGAGCGAGGTCAGTGGTTGGTGTGGAACTGGACTCTGTGTTTAAGGTGGCCGAGAGAAGGACATTGCACAAACTGCTCTCCATTATGGAGGATGATGGCCGCCCGCTGCACACCAACATCATTGACAAGAGGAGCATGTTTAGTGGCAGGTTGCTGTCCCAGACCTGCTCAGCTGACCAATTCAGGAGATCCTTTGTCCCTAGAGCCATTAGGCTCTTCAGCTCTTCCCAGTGGTGCCAGAAGAAGAAGAGAAGAGAGAAGAGGGAAGAGGAGAGATGAGGACTGAATCTGAATCTCGTGTTAAATCATAGGTTTATCTTATGCTAAATCATAGGTTTATTATATCCATCTGCACATACTGACACCTTACTGTACATATTGCACTTTCTGTACCCCCTATCGCGCATCTTGCACATCCGGACACTCCACACCTAGACACTTTACTTCAGTACCAATATATGCACATATTTATTCAGTATTGTCATTGTATGCCGTTACCTGCGCCTCCTTGTACAGTCATTATTGCACTGCCTTTTTCATCTCAGGTTATAGATCTTATTCCAGATTTTTGTATATATGCCTGTAGATAGGATTTTTTTTTATTTATTCTTCCTTCCTTCCTGAATCTGCAAGTTTCTCTGAGATTAACCAATTCACATCAAACCTCTCTGAATGACTCATCTCTGTAACTGGTCATAAGTGAATTATGCAGACATTTTAAAAAGTTGGTGGAATTCCCCTTTAACTTCTAATATAACTATTAGTATAAAAACAATATTAAGAATAAACTTTCATTTTAAATCAGCTGTTATGTTAATGAATTCTCAGAACAGGTTAATTTATTTATTTTTTGGTCAGAACATGTAATCTTTGCCCTTTTAATATTTATATAAGCCTTGATAAGCATGTGATTTTTTTTTATTTCTATGTTGAAATTTGTATTTAAACATTGAAGGCATCATTT